CAAATATGTTTTTTTAGCATACATGCAGACAGATAGTCCATTTATTTCTGTAATTTGGCTTTTAGTTTTGGAGATATTTGGGGACCAAATCTAAGATTTCACTTCCAGAGGTGGTGGGTACCGGGTAACACCACCCCTCCCCCCTAAATCGGGTACCGTGAGATGTCAATTATTTTAAATCTCTTAAAAGCGCATTAACTAATCTTACTTACGCATTCTGTTAACAAGATTTAGACTGCTTTCATTGACTAATTAACTCCTCAATGCACAGGATGGTTTAAATTACTGAAAACACATAAAGTGGAGTACAGATGTCCTACAAAAATAGCGACTCAACTAACGCTCCTAACATTTCCCCCCAATGACTATTACATGAGGCTTGCGTCCAGTAGTAGAAAAACAATGGCAAAAGTACTAATCGTTTGAAAAAAGCGATAGTCTTATAAATGTTTCATTGTTTCCAGCAATTATTTTTACATTGCTTACTTTTATCATCTTTCCAAATGCATTTTCAGCGAGTAACAAGCATTACAGTAACTAAACCACACAATGTTCTTTTACGGTAGGAACTCTACACTATTTTGTAATATTCATCAGTCTGCGAAGCTTTTTGGTTTTTTTTTCGACGATAAAAGAGAAGCAGATGCTCTTGTAGTGAAGTAATTAGTTCAATATGGATGAACACTTGCCAGTGATAGCAGGACGTCACACCCAGCATGACAACCATAACATCTTGACCCGGTAACACCAGGAATGCTTCATCATTCATGACATGCTTCACAAGCACTGAATTCACCATACAACTCTTAGTTTACTAAATAAGGCTAGTTCTAATAATTCCACAACGCATGCCTTAAATCTGCAGACAAAAGATGGTTCTTTCTTCATTACAAGTCGCGGGAGTTTTCACCAGTTTTACTGAGTCATTTTCAAAATGCATAAATAAAGTACTAATTTCCTATTCACTAAATTCTCATTTTCCTTACTGCTATCTTTGTACCCTTCATGTTCTCATTCTTTCCCTATTTTTATAGGAACCGATCACGTGACTTCATGACTGCTGCACAAGAAAATCAGAACTTGGAAAAGGATCCATGGTGCATTGTGGTCTCATCGTGAACTTTGACCCATGTCCTCTTGATGCGAGTTTACCAAAACCTGTTATACAGGATTTTATGCACTTCAAGACTGCAGAAGCCCTATCTATTTACAATCAACATCTATACAAATAGCATCTTAAAAATAGGGTCAATTATTCTAAAAGTTTCAGTGCGATGTGACGATTATTAATCAAGAAGTTCATTCTTATAGAGTGATGTAATAAAATCAATGATTTTCCTTTCTGTGAAATTAAATTATTTCAGTTTCTCCTATCATTGCATGTCATTGATAGTCAAAGGACATCAAACGTTATCCATTAGCCATACCAAATCCATAGGTGAATATCTCGTTTCATATCAACTGTCATTCTCTTGAGTACTGGATGAACTGGCCTTTTTCTTTTGCAGCAAATTTTTGATAAAAAATTCTCCTGTAACAAATCAAATATAGAGGGGTGAGTTGTAGAAAGCCAGAAGAGAGCTAACCTTGGATGTAATCTTTCATGTTGTATTGTTAATAAATACTGGACTGGATCTAATCAGGTTTTGACAATGTCAGTGGTCCAAGCAGGGGTAGGGTGGGAAAGACAAGTGACCCAAACAACTGTTGTCCTATTAGGTAAAATAAAAAATAAAATAAAATAAAATCCTTTGCCGTGGGTGAACAAATTAAGTACTAATATTGGTTTCCAGTTTGGCCCACTTTTACTTACACAAACTGCCAATACATTCAACATTCCATTAAACATGATTAACTTACACATTGATTCCTATGAGGGGGAGGGGCAACCCAGAGAATCCTGAGAAAAACCCTCATGTTACGGGAGAGAATACATCAAACAAGCTCAACTCACATTTGGGGTTCAGGTACACACACAGATATGGATAATACTCAGATAAACAATTGTAACCCAGGGGAATGACAGAAGGCCTTTCTTTTTTCATTGCTAATATATAACATTCATGTTTCTAGCAATAAACCTTAAAGATCCCTTGCACGCAACGTCAAAACAGCTCAATTTGGAGGACAAAATGAAAGAATTTCAATCTCAAGAGAATTGGAAACCTATTGTTATGTCCTCAAAACTGAGCTGCACATGAGAAGAGACATGAATATGGATATAACTTAAACAAAGAATCTCATTTTCTAGAAAATGACACTTGGCCTGTGATGGGAAAACAATGCACCACAACGAATAAGGTCTATCACTTACCTGCTTTATATGATGATCGGACAAGAGGTCCACTTGCTGTGTAAGCAAAACCCATTTCATTTCCCACTGTCTCCCAGTGCTTGAACTTCTCTGGTGTGACGTACTCCGTAACCTGTACAAATAGAAAATAAGTTTCAGAGGATGTGGAAAAATGGAAAAACAAGGAGAAGCATAACAAAAAATTATTAAACTAAATCATGATTTAGTAGCAAAGTATCAATGGAAAACATGAATAAAAGAGAAAGAAACAAAGAAAGAACGAAAAAAAGGAAGAAAGAAAGGAATGAAGAAGGAAAGAAAGATAAAGAGAAGGAAAAAGAAATGACTATTTATAGATCTCTATTCCCTGACATATACCTTAAGGTGGTTCCTGGTTGGACGCATGTATTGTCCAAGTGTCACACAATCTACACCAGCATCACGTATATCTAGAAAAAATGGACATGAGAATTTATCACAAACCATAAGAGTATGCAAGCTTTGRTATTAATGGTTTCTGTATGCAATTTCAAAGATTAAAGAGCATAATGAATCAACAAATAGGATCTCAACAGGCCCGTCCCTCCCCTCTCCACCTTTGTAGGAGTACAAAATAATGCTTAGCTCTATTCTTGTTTTTCAAGAAATGGCATAACAAAGATTGACTGTAGAAAAACGAACGTCCCCTTTCAAGGTCTTAGCAAAGGGCCTGCTTAAACTTTACAATGATGGGTTATCACCTTTGAATGTCTGATGTATTTCATCATCTGTTTCTCCCATTCCAAGCATTATTGACGTCTTTGTTACCGTATCAGGATTCACTCTCTTAACATGACGTAGAACATCTAGAGACTGCTCATAGTTGGCTCTAGGATCTCTTGCTAATCTAGTAGGATAATAAAATGAAGATATGCTATCAGTACCAGTAGTGCTTGCTTATCGGCACGGCACCCACAGAAAGCAGCTGTTAATATAATTATTGTATATAGTTTAGATATATTTTTTATATTTTTTTTATTTATTTATAGTTTTATCCCATTAATGTTGTAAATATACAGTGTATAGCTTATGAATTGCCCATGGTAGAATAAAGAGTATCTATATATCTATCAAAATAATTGATGAATTTGAAGTCAGAAACTCAAAGATAGAGAAATAAAAAATGATTGTTCTCATTCTTAACCCAATAAAATAAAGCAATTATATCGTGGCACTCCATAATATATCCATGATGTTAATTCATATGAATTGGATCTTCCCAGAAGGTAGAAGGGTCTGAGGAGGGTACATTATGTAATTCAGAAAATATCCATACCCCTGTCTAGAGAAAAGGAATGGAATTTCAAACAGGTGGGGAAGGGAATCTATTCTCAACAAACTCTCTTTTTCATGAGAGTAGTGAATATTTTCTGCAGATTATGTACTGTTTAATAAACGAGCAGGAGTGTTTTATCGGGTATAAAACACGAGGCGTAGCTGAGTGGTTTTAGACCCGATAAAACACGATCTGCGAGTTTATTAAACGGCTTAAAAAACTCATGATGTATGTTCTCATACTGTACCGATTTCTTACGAAATGAACCAAGTTTGATAGAGAAAATCCAAGTTAAAGTTTATGCAAATGAAGACGAATCTATATCAGATATAAAACCTCCTTCATGGTCATGATTTCTATTGTGTTTTCTTCATGAATTATTAATTTTTTAAGATTATTTATGAATTGTCATGACTTCTCCTCCACTTCTAACAAAGTTTTTCTTCAACAAGTCAATTTGGGTCAACATTACCAAGATAAAAATCAACTTACAGTTGCAATCTTTCTACTGTCTCGACATTGTGTGCAAAGACGTCTAGCCCAGAGTGTACAATTGTTTCTATGCATTCTTGGTTGCCACGGAAATCAGGTGTCAAACACTCTACCAAGATAGCGGGACTCCTACAAAGAATGCAAAGAAATCTGTAAAAATGCTAGTTTTGTAGGCAAATAGTTAGAGACTAGCAGTTACTAGTTTGGGCTGCATTGATGTGCTAAACAAAATAAGAAGGAAACTTGAACAGCATTTAAGTTTGTAAAAATGCGGATGTTTTGGACTGGGTCCTTTGTCAGAGTAAACAGATTTTGTAGGGAAAGGACTTAATACTTAGTATTTAATTGAACTTAATACTGGGTTTGTACATTATATGAATATGAACCAGGGATTTTTATACTTGATTCGTTCAATTATTTTATTTTATTTATTCTACAATAACTTTTTAACTGGCCATAAGTTCTTGATTAATTATATTGTTTTTTTTAGAATAACCTACCCCCCCCCCCCCGCTATATAAAAATTAGGTTATTATTATCATCATTATTAGTATAGGAAATCGCACGATCTCGAGTACAATTTGTACGAGAAGATCGTGTGATTTTTTGTTTATAGTTCACTCAACAAAATTTCAGTAAAAGATGCGCATCGACGCCGTTCATCTTTGTCTATTTGGCGGCCGATTTTCAGTCCATCGTGCAACTGAAATGCATAAAAAAGATTACTTCTTACAGCTTTAAAATTTTATTCATATGTTTTTTAAGTACAAAATGATAGAAAATAATTGTTTTGACATTGTTTTGGCTGTGTTGCCATAGCGACTTAATTTGGTACTCCTACGGAGTACAATTAACGCTATAATTGTACTCCTCTCGACCAATCAGAGTCGAGTAATTTTGTTGAGTGTACTATAATTACTGTTATTATTATGATTATTTTAGATCAAATAAGTTAATGACATAGATATTAGAGGATTATTCATTGGACCCAGATTCAATCCATAATTTACAGACAGGACATCAAATCCCAAACTTGACCAGAGAATGTAATTTTCCTTTTTCGACATTTGTTAATCTCATGCAATTGAATGAGCCTTTCTCAACCATTAGCTCACAAGGTTTGTCAGTCAGTCTTGCAGGCACCTATTCTAATATCTAACACAAGGAGAACTTATCATTGATATTTGGGACTGAGCACCTTTTCTTGATCTGCTTTACGGTCTCTGCAATGTGGGAAGCCCCTCCATCAGGAACATCTGAAAGATAATTTACCAAAAGGCTTTTAATGGCCCGTTATTTCAAGCAGGCCTATTGCAAGCATTTATATAAGGAGGCAATTCAAGTATAAACCATTCAAAGGTTGATTTAAAAACTAGATTAAGTTGATATTGCAGTGCATTGTGGGATTGTTTTGGGGGATTTATTATTAAGATGGCATCTATTTTTCCTTCTAAAACACTCCCACAATATACTAACAACACAACTTGTCCCAGTTTTTTCCTCAATTATTGAAAGTCTAATATTAGTGTAGTATTGTACAAATGTCTCTGTATTGTGATATAAACATGATTGGAGCTGTAGAGTTTGAGAGAAGTGATCAAGCTTAAGAACACGTGGCGTAGCCAAGTGTTTTTCTTGCTTTTCAAGTGCTCTATAGCTCCCAGATTGTGTTGATACAGTAATATGGGAAGCACGGGTGGCATAGCGGTGTGAGCGCTTGCCTCTCATCAATGTGACCCGAGTTTGAGTCCTGCCGGGTTCGGAGTTGTATGCTATGAATAGAGTTGTTTGTTGGTTCTCTCCTGTGCTTCGAGGGTTTTCCGGGTTCTCCAGTTTTCCTCCCTCCGCAAAAATCAACTCCTAAATTCCAATTTGATCACAGAATGAGGGCCACAGGTTTGTTAGTCACTGGCAATTAAGTGCTACCCTCACAAAAAAAGGACGTTTTTTTTATGTATATCACAGTAGAGAGACATAAGCAGCCATTTTATATTGCTTTTATAAAATATTTGTGAATGATTTTGTGTGAGCGTGTCTCTGTCCTCTGATATAAGCACAGTAGCCAGCCACTCAGCGTGTGCATTATATCTCAAACATTTTATAATGAAAGGTAGATAATACTGACCATCTCTGTCTACTGACGTAATAACAATATAGTCTAGTCCCCATTGGCTGATGGCTTCTGCAGTATTGATTGGTTCCAGAGGGTCAAGTGGTGGGGGCTTTTTGTTAGTCTTAACAGAACAGAAACGACAACCTCTTGTACACTGATCTCCCATCACCTAAATAATGCAAGCCAAAAGTACAATGATGTAATTACTCATCTAGGAAAATACTCTAAGTTAATTATTGTATCAGTATCATGTTTTGAAACAACAGGCATATGGAAGATCATGAACTGCCAGAGAGTCCTGGGGACCAAGTGATAGTTCAAGCCAGAGAAATTTGCTCAGTTATTGGAACATTCTCAGTTTCCTGACCCTCAATAAAAAAACCTTGCAGAACTATGGATTACACAGTTATCTACAGTATATGGGCCTGGTTGTACAAAGCCTGGATAGCACTATCCGACGGATAAATCTTATCCGGTGGATAAATTCATTGGATAACAGCATTGACTTATCCACTGGATAAGGATTTATCTGCCGGATAGCACTATCCAGGCTCCGTACAACCAGGCCCAGTTATCCTTTTCTAAGCCATGTAGTAGGTAGACTGTAGCATCTCTCTTCCATCGATAGTCCCCTTCACAGTTCCCTGCGCCATCTGGAAAGGTAACTGTGCCTTCGCATCGAAGCGAGACAAAYGGTGAGCTTGCAATGATAGAGACATGTGAATAAAATAATGTTCAAGGTGTTAAAAAAGGTCTCTATCATTTCAAGCTCATCGTTCGTCTCGCTTCCATGCAAAGGCACGGTTACCTTTCAAGATGGCGCAGGGAACTGTGAAGGGGACTATTAGTACACAGGTCTACAAGGCTGCAAATAACTTTTTTGAGAAGCAGGTCATTACTTCAGACCAAAGACACATTTGACCTGCCAAATTACCAAAACCCAAGTGTGACAGGACAAAGATTTTCTTGATATCTGACATTTCAGTGATAATTAAGCTCAATCAGCTATTATTTGCTTGTATGAGCCTGATGACACAAGCTGCAGCCATGTTTATTCTCATGGGAATAAAAACCTTTGTTTAACCTGCATAAAATTACACTCAAGCACTTGAATGCCAGGATACGCAAGTGAAAATCTATTGTTCAAGTCAACATGGCTACCACGTGAGCAAGGACATGCCCATTATGTTGAAATGTATTTGGTCATATGTCTGGCCAAGGCAAATCATTCACTACTCAAGTAATTATTTTTACCAGTTTTTTGTGTGAAACCTGGCACTTATTTACAGCCTGTATCTGTATTTACAATAATTGGTATGATATTATCGACATTAAAGTGTGTTTACCTACCATGATTGTAGCTGTAGCTGTTCCTTCTTTACCACCACCCCAGCACTCACCAATGTTGGGACACTTTGCTTCTTCACACACCTACACAGGAGTACAAATGCACACTCTCTAGTGAACAGTACAATTTATTCACCTACACCAAATTGAAATATGATGACCAATTTGAATAACTATTGTTCTGCACTAACTAGTGACTTACTAGTCTCCCATACATGTGAAAATGCTTTTATGTTTCCAAGTGAACACGGGGCTAGTCAGTCGCTAGTCAGTCGCTAGTCTATGCAGAACAATAGTTATTCAAATTGGTTACCATATTTTGATTCAGTGTATATACTGAGGTACTTTCTGGCTTTTTAATAAGATTATCACCACCATGACCATCTTGATGTTCATCATCACCACTAATATCGTCATCATCATTACCATTTTGTTATCATCATGCAAAATCATGAGTTTCCAGTATTGTATATCATTGTCATTATGTACATCTATCAACACCATCCTCATCATCATGCACCATTACCATCACTAACAGCATCATCATCATCAATATAAAGTTCAAGTAATCACATAATGTACATACATTATATCCATATACATTAATTATCATCATCATCAAGGGTCATTATCTTCATGTATCATTACTAACACCAACACCATCCTCATTCTCATTATTACATTAAGGAAATAAAAAAATTAGTTTAGATGTAATGATGAAATCTTATTTACAACCTAGCTTATATTCAATAAAATTTCGACCTTAATTATCTTGAAGGATTTTGAACTAAACCAGGAAGTATTGAGCCAAGCAGTGTACAGGCTATATATCATAATTAGCCCAGTGTTTTTAAAATAACCGCTCATAAAGACTCTTTCCTGTAGCTCAGTGGTAGAGCATCTGACCAGCATCCGGAAGGTCATGGGTTCAATTTCTTTCAGAGACTCTGATTTTTTAAAGTTTTTCCTTTCAGCTATTGACTTGATAATAAGTTATTATATATAGTGTAGGATGTATGTAATATGATCTTACTGTGCTTAGGTTCAGCTCTCTTAAAGTTTTCTTCAACTTTGAATAGTTTTTACCAATAGGAATTTCAGTCTTCAACCAAGAGGGAAGTCTTAACCTGAAATTATACCATTGATAAATATGTTACTCTTGAAATATAAGATGCTTGATGGTGTTGACCAGGCACCATTTTACCTCCATTATCAAAATTTGTGCTAATTTTCTCTCATYAATAGACTGTTTTCTCAAGGTTGAGTGCGCAGCCAAATTTAAGGAACTTGACACCAGGGGTGCCGGAACCGGGGGGTGTGGGGGGCGGGGGTTTAGCCCCCCCACTTTTTGTGAAATTTTAATACATTTTCACTAAACTCAGCTCCCCCACCTTGCCATACAATGTCACTATTGAGCCCCCCCAATCAAAAAACTGCTCCGCCGTCCCTGGACACAGGCCATGATACCAGAACAGGAGTATTATCATGCATTACTATGAAATTTTTTAAAATAAGAATTCATAAAATCAATTATTTTTCTCTTTAAATATAAAACTGTCTACTCAATTTTACTGAATTTGCATTTTTCAGTTTTGTGGCCCGTCAAGTTGGATGTCACACGCAACCTTGAGAAAACTGTCTATTAATTTTTATACATGTAGCCTTATGAGAATACTGTACAGTAGTATGGCAATTAGTGCTGGTTATTGTGAATTAGTGTCTGCCAAATATAACGGGAGTAAGATATCATGAAATAATCAGCAATAAAGAACTTTGGAAAAGAACTGGTGAAAGTCCAAAAAAAAGGCATTGAAATATACCTTTTTTGAGATAGTGAACATGGTGCATCCTGGTCTAGCTTCATTACAAACATCATGCCTTGTATAGTTTTGTTTGTACAGAATCTAGCCCACGATGCATCCTGTTTATCAAACTCAGAAAAGGCCTAGAGAACCCTGAAGGAAGAAGGAGAAAGGTGGGGAGGCCACTACAGTCATGGAGGAAGCTACCCATGGCAGAATTGAAGAATGCAAACATCACAGGGGAAGAGGGAAAGAAAACAGCAGAGAACAGGGTGAGGTGGAGGACAATGATATGGAAGGTCTATGTTCCCAAGGGAGCAGAGAGGACTAAGCAAGCGTGTAATGGGAAAACAAAGTGGGCGAGTGATTCTGATAATGGTTGTATGTGACATGATCATGTAAATACTATACAGCTAAATGAATGGATGGATGAACTAATGTATTGATAAATAGTTAGATGGATGGATGGGATAGGATAGATGGATGGTTGGAACAGCAGGATGAATAATGAATGGATAAGTGGATGGATGGATGGGATAGGATAGATGGATGGTTGGAATAGCAGGAAGGATAATGACTGGATGGGTGAATGGATGGATGGATGAATAGATAGAGGACTGGATGGATAGATATATGAATAGATGGGTTGATGTTTAGAGTTAAAATAATCTTTCAATTAAATTATTACCACTACCATTCTTCTGTGGTATTAATTAATTATGCTCCCTACACTAACCTCTGTCCTTTCTTTCTCCTGTAAGGGTTCTCAGGCGGATCACCAGAGAGAAAATCTCCCAGTCCTGGTCCTTCTGCTATTTTATTTTTCACATCTTCAGGCAGAGAACTGAATGATTGAATTCTTAGGCGATGAAATAACGATAAACCAGCCTTAAAATCAAAAATCAAAAATCAAAACTACATGCATTGATACATATTTTTTACACTAACATAATGAAAAAACATCAAATTATGCAATTGAGTTTAAGCTCGTAACTCCAAAACAATTAAACAAATGAAAATATCGCTTAAGAACTACATTATACGTCGCACTTCGCAAAGAAAACCCTGGAAACTTTTTACATATAAGTGAGGGACTATTTCTGGATTAGTATTTGGCACCTGTGTCCTCGATAAAGAGGAAAAATCCCTTGATGAATGAAGCACAAATCTTGTTGCATAAGACGCCATCTTGGCCGCCATGTTATAGCACATAAAACACAGGAATCCCGCAATTAATCATCCGGGAATGTGGGGTTATTTTTGGAGACTGCGGGATTTTTTTCAATATTTTCCCCACTAATTTTGTTAAATAGGGCGCAAAAGAAAGATAGATGAAAAGAATCGCTGAATTTTGGGAAAAATTCTGATAGAAGCTTTTTGTTTATCTATTCCCTAAATCTACTGTTACATGTAGTTGGTCTCCCTGTGATTAAAGGACAGGAAACCTACTATGAAGCATCCGGGGATTTTGCGTTATTTTTAGGAGATGTTGTCACGGGGATTCCCCGTTACCTCATACACAAAAACCCTGCTTCAAAACATCACGTTCAGTTTCGTTTTCTATTCAAAGCCTTATCTCTCCTTCCGCAAAGAGTTGTAATAGCCCACACGTTATTCTTCCCTTCAGCTTTCTTTACAAATATACCGTTCAGATCAGGAATCGAGGCACTTTTACAGCTTATACTACATTGGATTATCAAAGACTTGTGTCCACCATTTTGTAATAGTTCTCGTTGAAGTAAAGAGATGTGAAAAGGAAGCCAACTTCACTTTACTTGCTTAAAGATCGATCACTCAAGATGTCTTTGACTATGAATGCTATGTCTACAAGTCCTAAAAGCAGCCTGTCTGATACAGACGACTTTGTAATGGTCTCTAACAGTCCGCCTCCTTCCACTTCTGTAGAAGTCTTGAAAGAAAGTTTAGAGCAAAAGGAATACGGCGAGCAACCTTCAAGCGATCTTCTTCCGAAGGCTGTCTCAGAAAAGCCTAAAGATAACGAGATACTTGAAAAATTTGTCGCTCTTGCAAAAGAAAACGAAGAATTGAGAGAGACTCTAAAACACAACAACAACACCCTTCAGGTGAGCTGAATATTACTTGTGCAAGCCGTTTGTTTGTCTCTCTCTCATTTTCGCATGAAAAGACTGTGAGAAACATTGCAATTATTATCCATAAACCTCAAGGTTATGTGATACATAATATCCAAGGACAACGTACTAGAATGCTAGTGTTATATACAATAAGTTTCATCAGTGTTTTACTATGTGTTTGTGTTGATCAAGCCATAGCGGAAGTCAAAGAGATGCATTAAACATGTCACCTGATTTTAATCACTGCGGTTTTCCATATTCTGCGAACTCGGTAGTTGCGAGCTGCACGCTGAAATTTGTGTTTTTTTTGCTGCTGTCAGTCAAAAATAATCAGTTGGTACCTTTTATGTGCTTGACTGGCAGCATTAAGAAAAGAATTTCACGACAAGCTGTTGAAATATCTAAGTTCACAGAATATGGAAAACCGCAGTAACTTCTAAAAGTTTTTTGTACATAAGTACTGATAAACGTTTGGCATGTGTACCAATGCATACCATTCTTACTTAATGATACAAGGTTACACCTACATCTAAAAAGCTTCTTAGAAATACTAGGTAAAAAGTGTTATAATATTGCCACTGCCCTGCTGTATGCTCAACGAGTTTAAACACTACATGTGAGTGGTGTTTCTTGTTAGCTCTCCCTCTGCTTTTGTCAAGGGTTTTTCTTCAGGTTTTCCAGTTTTCCTTGCAAAAATCAACTTCTAAATTCCAATTGAAATTTAGCTTAAAAATTTCAATTACAAAATCAATGCAAAATAAGTACAAATTGACCCTGTGACATTATGAAACTCAGAGAAAAACCCTGGAAGCACAGGAGAGGACCAATGAACTACTCTACTCACACATACAACACCCAGCCTGGAGGGACTCAAACCTGGGTCACATTGATGAGAGGCCAGTGCTCTCATCCCTATGCCACCTGTGCCTCCCAAACAATATTAACATTGACAATAATCGTGGGCAGGAATGGGGTTTTTACAGACACCCAATGAACCTATCCTTAATATGCACCTCCATTAATGGTACAATATTTATTTATTCTTTAGAAACACATCAATGAATTTGCTGAAATGCAAGACCAATACAAACAAAACAATGAAACTATCAAGAAAGAGCACCAGAAAGCAAAAGAGGTAGTTACAAAACTCAGAAATGAAAACAAATCCTTAAAGGAACAACTGAAATCACTGGATATTGAAAATGGCGAAATCTTGAAGAAAGAGAAAGAACTGGGAATAGAAAAGGAGAACGCTTTTCTGAGACAGCAGATAAACACGCTCAAGGGACAGATATCACAGATTGATAACCAAATCGAGGAAAATCAGGTAGAAATTAAATAATTAATTTTCTATAATTAATTTTTGTTACTTTAATGCCTATTTAATGTTACTTTAATGTTACTTTAATGCCTATTTAATGTTTCTGCGATCTGACTGACAGACATTTGGAGCCGTTTGCAGACATTGGGGTTCACAAAAGTCCTTAAATATTTTTCGGTGAAGCTTAAAATAAATCATAGTAATATGTACCTAACATAATGCTGTTTTGACATTAATATTTAAAAAACTCAATTTATTTGTAGTTTACAGAAGTAGCTGTAGAGAATTGGCATCAACTTCTTGGCTCCATTGCTTCTTATGAGTATCAGACAGGAACATTGTTTCATGGCATAGAAAAACAACATGAATCAAGCAGTGAAGTAAGTAGTGAGGACATAAGTAGCCAGAAAGATGGCTATTCTCAGTTGGAGGCTGTGAAGGTTGACTTGGATAAGTTGAAAGACGAGAAGGACCACATGGAAAAGCAGCTGCTAGAGATGTTGGAAATAAACAAGAAACTACAAACAAGGTCTGAACATGCTAAGGAAGAGAAGGAGGAGTTACAGAAGATGTTAAATGAAAGGTTAGAGAAGGATGCAGAAAGAGGTAATGAGCAACAGGAGCTCAAAGAAATGGTACACAACCTGAATGCCAAGGTCGAGAGCTTGAATGAGGAGCTACAAAAGAAAACCCAGGAAATGTCAGAGGCAGAAAAAGAAAATAAGAGATTAGCAGCAGAATGTGAAGTACGATTTCAAAAGGAGGAAGAGCTGAAGCAAAAGCTGAGAGAAATGGAAATTGAAATGTTAAAGGTACAGTATATGCCACCCACCCTTCCCCCCCACCCAATATTGGGCTAAAGCTAGCAAGGTTTGAGTATATTTAGTACTACCCTTTCTATCTGATGAAGTTATAATGACTAAATATATTCCTCTTTTATGAGGGGAGTCAGGATTGTGTGGTGGTAAAATGCTCGCCTCTCACCTCTCTGAGGTATGAGGTTCAAATCCCACTTGCCCCATGTGAGCTGAGTAGCTAGGTTGGTTCTCTTTCTGGCTCTGAGGATTTTCCTGGCCCTCTGGTTTTTCCACCCTCCTCTCAAAATCAACCCTAACTAATTCTGGTTAGAGCTGTGTTGCAGGGTGATGCATTGACTGTATAGTGGCTGTCAGAGGTGCCCTCTCATTGCTTTCAGTTTGACCCCATTAAGCTGCACCACTGCTGCTCTCTGCTCTAGCCTCAAATCATATAGAGTTATTTATAATGCATAATTTATGTCAAAACCATTGTTACTGATAATAGAAAGCTGATGAAGATGACAGTGTCAGCAAGGAGAAGTTTGAAATGATAAAAATGCAGTATATCAAATATCAAGGACAAGTGGATAAATTGGAAAATGAGAAAAAAGAGCTGCAAGATAAATTGAAGCCTTCAGAAGAGCAGAAAAACAAACTGCAAGAAGAGCTGGACAATGTGAAAAAGGTGTGCTAGAAACGTTTATTGCAGGTTGTATCTCTTGCCAGTTAGAGTGTCTGCACTATAACACATCAATTAATTCATTAAAGTTAATTAATATTCAGGACAAAGAAATGGCAGAAGAGAAGCTGCTTGAATTCAGAAAGCTAATGGAAGAGGAATTAGAATCTCGTTCAGAAACATACAGAGAAAAGCTAATTCAGTTGCACTCAGAGCTGGAAGAAGGAAGGAATAGAGAAGAGCATAACTTGAAGCAACTCGAAAATCTGCAATCAGAGGTTGAGGAAGGGAAAAGGAGAGAAGTGATGCTTCAAGAAAGGCTGGAAACCTTTCAAACTACACTGGAAGAGAAAGAGTCCATGGTAGAGAGCCTACAAGATCAAGTCTGTCATTTGATAGAGGAAAATGAATCATTCAAGGTCAAAAATGATAAACTGACAGAGATAAATGCAAGAAGGTATATAGGATTATTAATAATTATTACCTTTTACCAAGATGACCCAGACAGGCATCTGTGTTGTTGGCTTCTGCCATCAAAATATTAGGGGAAGCATGGGTGGTGTAGGAATGAGAGGGCTCGCCAGCTCTTCTGATACTCAGTGTCATGATGTGAGTATATTTTCTAAAGGTAGTTGGTTCTCTCCTGTACTTGACCAGTGTTCCCTGGTTCCCCCCCCCCTGGCAATCATGATGTCGACTGCATATAATTAAGAAACTTTCATTTAGTATAGTATTTGGGTTTGCCATGAAAGTATTGCAAACCTCTGATTACCTGCAAGCTTGTGAAAAATTGCTGTCAGATGCTGGGCATCCAGGGCTTTGGATTTCAATACACTTGCTGCTGAAATGTTATAAAAGACCAAAGACACCAATGCAATGCATTAAAAACCCACATACATACAAAAGCAATGTTAAAAGGACACACACAAACAAAAAGTGATGTAAAAAAACACAATTAACACACTCACACAAAAGCTTACAAAATACAAAAGTGATGTAAAAAAGAAATACAAACACACTCATAGAAAAGCTCATAAAATAATATCCTTTGAAGTGGTTCAATTTATAAACTCTAGAAGCATCACTTTCCCTTGATCAAATGTGAGTGATGTGATAGTTAGCCAATGTGTTACTTTGAAAATGTTTACTAACTTAATCATTCTAATTTACACTCTTAGAGATAAACTGTATGAGGGGAGAATGAAAAACATGGAAAAGGAAGGCTACAATAGAGAAAAAGAGATGTTAAGTCTTATTGACATGTTGAAGACTGAGATTGGATCATTAAAGGAGGAAAACAAGAAATACTTGGAACAACGCCAGATGTCCAGGTCTGTACCGAATACGTAAGATAGTCTATTATAAACTGGCAGAGTGCAAACAATATTACTGTGAAACTTTAGTAATACTAAATAGCACAATTTCATGCAAATTCCATTTCTATTGTTTAATTAGCACTATTTTGTACTATTTAGTAATTAGTGTTTCACGGATTAATTGTTTGCACTCTATAACAATTTATAACTATATTCAATTGTAACGAATGGTCGAGGTTGGGTTTTATGGAATCTTATTAATATGATCAAAAAACTGAAAGAGTGGCCAATCAGTTTTTTTGTTGGTGCAGTAGGCTGTTGGTAGGTTTTTGGGCTTGGTTGTACAAAGCCTAGATAGCGCTATCAGACAGATAAATCTTATCCAGTGGATAAATCTATTGGATAACAGCATCAACTTATCCACTAGATAAGGATTTATCCGCTGGATAGTGCTATCCAGGCTTTGTACAACCAGGCCCTGGTAGATGTACTGTTGTTTGGTTCATTGGTTCTTAACAGGTTGTTTGGCAGGCTGTTGTCCCCTGAACAAGGACGCAAGAATGACTTTCTCAATAGTCCCCTTCACAGTTCCCTGCGCCATCTTGAAAGGTAGCCGTGCCTTTGCATCGAAGTGAGTCGAACGGTGAGTTTGCAATGATAGAGACATGTAAATAATTGTCCAAGGTGTTAAAAAAAGGTCTCTATCATTGCAAGCTCACCGTTCCTCTCACTTCGATGTAAAGGTGTGGCTACCTTTCAAGATGGAGCAAGGAACTGTGAAGGGGACTATTGCAAATGACTTCACCCTTAAAAGCATTATGCAAGCAATATTAATGGTAAATATCTGTACTCATGTCCTGTTATTAGGAAGGAAATGGAAAGATTGGAAACCCAATATGAGTCACTGTTGAAAGAATATGATGAGTTATTCAATTTATATAATGGAACTCTTGAAGAATCCAGGGTAAGAACGCTTTACAATAGAACACTATATCTGTAGTAAGGACTTCCTGTATAGGAAGGCCCATTGCTAGGGGTGGTTGATGGGTCAAACAAACTCATCTCCACCTTTGTAGGAGTAAAAATTAATGTTTGGCACTATCTTTTTTCTTTTTTTGAGAAAATGGCATAACTAAAATTGGTAGGAAAACGAACCATCAGTATCCACGGTTTGTGGGTTACAGTAACTTTAGTTTTCCAGACAACATTTAAATGATTTTACTTTCTCAAGGGCAAGGATTGCCTTCAATGTTCCTACAAAACAAATCATTAATGAAACAAATTATTGATACAATAAAATTAATATTATTGTATCAAATCCTTCCATCCACTGCATATTCCAGTCTTTCTTCAACCCTTATTTTCTCAAGCCAATTCTTCACAATTTCTAAATATTCTTTTCTTTTCTTGTAAATTGTACATTAGTTTATATCCATCTTTTGTAGCAAAATACTAAATTACAGATGGGATCTGCCAGTAAAATTAAGCTACATTAACACTTATTGAAATTAAACTCACATTTTCCACTTTCTCTTCCACAGAGTAAGCGCAGTGATGCTTCAGCAGAGATTGATACTTACAAGAGGCAGATAGATTTCCTATCTGCAGAACGATCATGTTTTGAGGAAGCCTTGCACAAGAAAGACTTTCAAATACAAGAGATGGAGGAAGATCTTCAGGAGTTACAAAGCTGTAAGGAGAGGGTTTCTGTTCTGGAACAGCAGGTTAGTCTCATCACCACTCAACTCAGTGCATGGTTGCCTGCAGGTGATTGCAACTCACCCCTCCTTACTCCCACAGTATAACCTTTGTGTGTGTGTGTGTGGGGGGGGGGGGGGGGGTGGTAGGAGCGGCACTTGGCTGAACAATAGGGTGGTACCTCCTTTTTGTTACCCATGAATAGAAAGGTTAAATGTTTAAAACAGCAAAGTTAAGAAATGAAAAACTGTGCCATTTCTGTTTTTAATTTACTACGAGAATCACGATTTTCTAACTTTCGTTAACTAGCTTTAACTATATTAGTCGTTTTTCGTTGTTTATTTGTTTGATGTATTCAACTTGTCATTTTTTCCCCCTAGTTGGAAGTTTACCGCAATGACTTCCAAGCAGAACGCGAATCTCGTGAAAGACAACACGAGGAGTACGAAAGAGTAAGAATGGAGAACGAGGACCTACAACGCGAGCTTGACAACTTAGCAAATAACCAAATGGCAGAAATGCAGCGACGTCACGGCAGTCACGTGCCTCATCATTCCGTGATAGGATTGGTCAACCAGCAGCCATTCAGAAATGGCTTTTATAGGCGTGGTGGTGAACCCGATCCAAGAGGGGGTTTTGAGTCAGGCGGAGGTAGAAATGCACCTGGCCAGGGAACCCCTGACGAACAATCTGAAGATCCATACCAGTGTCATGGATGTCGAAAGAATTTTGTTCGCTTCAGTGAACTACAAACTCACGTGAGGGAATGTCCAGCGGCTCTCCATGGCAACGGCCCTCCTCAGGCAGGAGTGGGAAACTCTCAGCCATATTGCCCAAAGTGTGGTAATGAGTTCCCTGATCTTGACACGCTTCAGATCCACGTTTTGGAGTGTTTGGACACAGAATGACTGGACCATTAAGGGCTGCAGAAGGTGGCTGTATCTGGGTGTAACCGTTAGTTCAGTATTTTAATGCTTATTAGTATCTAGTGGCATCTTCTCCAGGGTGACAATGCTTTTCATTTTTTATGGCATCCTTAGAATTTCATAGACATTATTGCTCCATCGTCTAAGCCTCCGACATCCTACAGCCCAGCTGTACCTTATCTTCCATGCAGCTATCATTTCTGCTGTGGTTACGTCATCGAATATTAATGATCCGTTTTCCACGATCGATTTTCTTACTTTTACAGTATTGTCCCTGACTGCTCCTGTTAGTGAAAATTTTTAGAATCAAAATATTATCATCACCATCATGTATCATCATCATGTATCATCAT